TTTTGATCATGAAATTTTGAACATTCAACTTTATATTTATAAAATTATTTGTCATGGTTAGAGGTGCAGGCGAATAGTCCCAATGATGCCGCAACTTTGCCGTAACGTGCCGTAATTATATTAAATAATTATAAAAAGTTATTGCATGTTTGCCGTAACTTTTTATAATTATTTAATATAGTTGCAGCATCACAGGGACGATTCGCCTGCGCCTCTAGTCATGGTTATCTATTGCGAAATGCCACAAAATGTAATCGAATTTAGCAAAAAGCAGCTAATCAAATTTCAATGGAACGATCTAGAATCGATCTCCATTTTTGGTAATATGCCTGACTGTAATGAGCACTATAACTATTGACAATAAGTCATTTGATATGCAATCGACGTCGCTGGTGCATACGTACGTACGTACGTACGTACGTAAATGATACTTTTCCTATTTAAAATCGTCTAAAAATTATTTGTGCATGTATATCATTTTGTCATATCATTTTTTAGTTGTATAACGTGATTTTTATAAAAAATAAAAATATGCTACTAAAAAACTTTTTACTGTCAGTAAATTTTTGTTAAATTTTACGATACATAGATAAGAATGTATTCTTTATAGTAGTAAAAGTTTTAATAGATAAAACATTTAAAAAAATATACTTGTATATATAAGTTTTTCGAGGAGACTTCAAAATTTTCGGAATTACACAAAAGCGGTGGTTTGATTGGTTTATATCATTTAATGATTTTACAACTATTAGAATCAGAAATACTTAGTTTACAACTTAATATCGGTTTTGCATACCAATTTGGAACACCTGAGCAATCAAATTCAGACATCTGACCAATCAAATCCAGACATCTGACCAATCAAATTCGGACATAGTAGCAATCAAATTTGAATATAGTTGCAATCAAATTCAGACATAGTAGCAATCAAATTCGTACATCTTAACAATCAAATTTGAACAGCAATATCTTATTATCTAGTAATTAGAATCATATAATTTTAGTACCATTCAACTCATCAGGACTAGACGAGTTGAATGGTACCAAAATTGTATGATTCTGCTTACTAGATAATGAGATATTGCTGTTCAAATTGATTGTTAAGATGTACGAATTTGATTGCAACTGTCCAAATTTGATTGCTACTATGTCCAAATTTGATTGGTCAGATGTCCAAATTTGATTGGTCAGGTGTTCCAAATTGGTATGCAAAACCGATATTTTAATAATAATTAATAATTTTTTTGTAATATTGAATATTACGTAAAAAAAATTTATCACCAAAGATCATATAAAAATGATCTACGTACCCCAACTTTAATGTTATATGTGAATCTGCGTTTATTTTTGCCAAATTTGTATAAGCTTATTAATATAAAATTATTGTCCGAAGTACAGCAAGGACTTATATGTCTAAGAAATTCAAATGCAACCTCATGATAACATAAGAACTTAATGATTTTATAAAAGTTAGGTAAATCCGTAAATAATCGCATGTAGATAATGTTTCGATTTTCCAAGAAAATTTCTTACAAAATAAATTTTGTTATAAAATTTAACACAATAATCCAAAAATGGAGTTTATCATAGAATGGGAACAAATCAGGATTTACTAAAAAATTGTGATTAAAATGTAAGTTCATATGAAAAAAATTCGGTCGTAAAACCAGTTTAATATTTTGTCTAGATGATCTTAAAAATGTTATATAAATGCCTTCTATTCGTTTTGAATTAATTAAAATAATTAGTATTTTTTTAATACCTACATTTACTTTAATTCTGAATTCAAAAAATCATTTCTTCAAGACAAATATAGTAAATATGAAGTCTGCCTTGGTTATTATATTTTCTTTTCTTTTCATGGCCATAGCTGTTTATTCTAAGCAAGTCCCAATAAGGGAAGCTTTGCTTATACCACTCGACATTAAGAAACACGATAAAGAACCTAATAAATATATAGTTAACAGTTATTGGCAAGCCTTTAATTACCATGCTGATGGTATGTATGTCAGAAAAAATAGATGTAGCGGCCTATGTTAATACTGAAATTTGGTGTCCTTATTAAAACCTTCATATCTACTAAAATCCACTTATACTCCATAAATCTTAATCCTAAAGTAATTACAAAAAATTATAAAGTTTAAATAAGCCAAATTTTCAGCATCACTTTAAGAAACAATTTATGCATCGGCTGCTACAATATGTTTTACTTGCATCTTATATTATTCATAATATTTATAAAATTTTTAGAGAAAGTCGAATCTGTACTCGAATGTGAAGATTCTTCTGTAAAGATTGATAAACCCAGTCAGGTAAAGATGATTAATTCGTTATGTTCTCTTTTACAGCCAATTTTTTAAAACTGAAATTCATTACAAATAAATTGTAGAAATTAAAAGTAAGTGATTACGGGGCAACCTATGAGCTAACCATTCCCAAGGACACCAAATCCGGAACCATATTTTCTTGTAGAAGATATCTTGACGACAGATATAATAGATTTGCTACATTCAATTTTGTACATGAGTAAAACTTGATTGTAATACAATATTAATTGATTAATAGTTTATATTATCAATAACTTCATATTGCCTTTATCTAATTTAATCGTTCTCAATGTCTAATCATCCATTTGCACTGTATCTTCCTGTAACAAAATGGCTTGCTGCTTTTTTGTAAATCTTATCTATAATGTTGTAAGTTCATTACATAAAAATTATAATCATATCTATAATAAAAAATGAATAAATACTACTTTCAAAATATTATCTAAAGAATAATTGATAGATGGGTGCCAAGTGTCGATTTACAATAGAAATAGGGCTCCGTATGGACTGTGTAGGACAGGGTGGTAGAAGTACCCTTACCCTACCCTTTATATAAGGGCTTGACCCTCGAGTTGTACTTAGAGGGTGTTGACTGTACTATCGTTAGCAACTAAGTTTATTGATATTTTTCGTAATAGATTTTTGTCATTGTATTTTTCTTGCGCAATATAATGTATTTATTAGTAATAGTAATTACTATATAATATTACATAAGTGCTTTT